GCATTAATGTTGCTATGTATTTATCGCTAACAATGTATTTACATTGGTATAGTAACAATACTGTTGTGTATTTGTCGCTAACTATAGTTCTGTATATTTATAGTAACAATACTGATGTATATATATAGGCATATCAAGAGTGCTGTTGTATATTTGCTGAAAGTGAGTTAAATAATACTCTTGAACCTTTTCACTGTATTCTAGGTCAGGAAGTAGAAAACATAGTGCGGACATTCCGACACAAATTTTCAACTCTTTCGACTGTACAAACGATAAAAGATGTTTGGAAGTAATAAACGTTTATTTTTCTTTATGTTTTAAAGCCAAATATATAATATATGTGTTAAAATACCAAAATAATATTTATTAACTAACATTTATTCACCACATAAAACTTCTTAAACACTGATTCTATAACGTTAGTAATAGTAGGCCTATTTGTAGTTTAATTTAATACATAAAAGTAATGTAAGGCTTAGCTGAAACACTACTTGGTAAATTTATTTTGCTTTTGGTTACAACTCAGTGTCATAAAACTTCTGAATTAAACTATTTTGCTGTTACATCAACGAAGTTATAAAAAAAAATATAGAATAAAAACAAACCTTTCTAACAAATCAACATGAATATTGAGCATTCAACATAAACACCATAATTGGCCTAAGAACAATCAGGTGATAGTTTTGTTGCTAAGCGACGATGTATATTGTTGAGCGTTACCAGAAAAGGAGCATGAAAGCGTTGTAGACAGAGTGGTAAAGGGAATAAGCCTTTTGTAGTTAGTGATTGCTATAATAAAAATGCTATAAATCTATATATGTAGAACATCAACACTGTTGTGTATTTATCGCTAACTACAGGTCTATATAGGTAGAATAATAACAAATCTGTTGTGTAATTATTGCAACTATAAATCCATATTGGTAGACCAGCAATAATGTTGTGTATTTATCGCTAACTACAGATCTATATAGGTAGAAAAATGATACGTTTGAGTTAATTTTTATAGAAAATAAGTCTTAGCTGACGCGTTATGTGACCTGATATGCACCTTTTTAATTTAAAAATGTGTGTTTGAAGAAAACACAATGTTCTTTGAGTTAGCAGTTGAACAACGACAGTTTTTGTCAAGAGATCAAGATCAATAATGAAGCATTCCAAGGCCCAACAAAGAAATTATGTTGTTTAGAGATCGTCGCTACACTTGGGATGTGAGCTCGTTTTCAGATCACCAGTAGAGTTGGTCGGATACAAGGACAGGGCAGACTATTGTCGACGGACCCGCAAGACTACCGTTATTTGATAACGTATCGACCCGAATCAACCGGCGGCCTAAGCATT